TTGCTGTACTGCTCATGAACACAATCCTTACTTTTACTCTGTAAACTGTTTACTTTGTTTTATGTGACTGTGTGATCTTACCAGCAGTTGGGTGTCACAGATGGCTGAAATTTTACTGGCCTTTACCCCAATGGATACTTGTCCATCTGCACAAAATTTAATTCATTTAGTGTTTTACCATTTCCTTGCCACTTGAAAACAAGAGATTACATTCACCTTCCCCTGTTTTATTTCATCTGTGTTACCATGACCTTTGGGACATGTGGTCAATAGTTACAGGAAACACACAACATAATTACTGTGCTTCTCATAAAAGTGGACAACAACAGGAGATTTAAAAAACAACTTTTCTAAAATATTATTACAAGCTGAAGTATATTTGAAAATAAACTCATGGGGATTCTACTGTAAATAGGTATTTTATTATATCATGTAAAAATAGACTGAGAGGACTTTGTCTCTTATTTGTATGTTGAGAACGCAAAACAGTTTCTGTTGTCAATGTATCACTAACAATAAATGCTGTTGTTATAGTTTATATTAGTTAAAATTGGTAACTGAAGCTGGCAATAAACCCCTGCAATAAACCAACCCAGTGGGACCCATTTTAAACGACTGTGATGTAATAAGCACAAAACTTCTGATGTGTAATTCTGTAATTCTGATGTAATGGCAAAGCTATTGAAACATGATTAGAAAACTTAAATTGACTGTGACGCCTTCATGATATAATACTGTAAGTAGATAAACATATGCACATCATACACTATGGGGACATTTTAGCTTTTAAATTTCAGAGACAATGCACTTTCAATACAATAGGATTAAAAAAAACAACTTTTGTCACTCAAGCTCAGCACATAATACAGTAAAATCTTGATCTCCTACCTCTCTCTGGAAACAGTTGGTGGTAACGGCGGTAGACACTAGCATGTGCATTAAGAGCATTTTGCAGCTCAGCCTCCTCCAGCTCATCCAGGCTGCTCAGTGTCACCCAGGTCTTTGCCAGGTCTCCAAACTCTACAAAAACAAACTCTGCATACTGCTGAAACATCTCTACCAGCTCCTTGCTCTCCCAGCCTCCATACCTTGATCTCAGAGAGTCTGGTACAGTGGATCTATGAAGGATGACCAGAGGCTCAAGTCCCACCTCGTGCAGCTGTTTCATCAGGGTCTGGTAGCAGTTGACCACAGCCTGCTGGGGCTGGCTGCGGAGGCCTGAAGGAAGGAGCTGAGCCCATGACAGCGGTACCTTGAAGTGAGTCACTCCTCGGCTCTGGAGGTACTCAAAGTACTGCGCAGAACCAGGAGGTATGGGATGACTGCAGTCAAAGGTGTCCTTGTCAGACGTTTCTCCGTTGAGGCTCATCACCTGTTCGGTGGTCATGGGGCCGGAAAGAAACATGGCCTCAAGTTGATGGTCATGTTTGTGGCTCAAGCAGCCATATACAGCTAGCAGACACAGAGGAAGAACTTTCCTCAAGAGAGACATCTTGTCCACTGAATGAACCCCTGCATGGTTAACCTTTTATAGTTATCCCATTCATGACCTTGAACTTTTAGTCAGACCATAGTTTCATAACTAATACTGCGGGTGGCAGAGTCACGCTGCTGAGATGCTTTATGATGCCTTTGGCAAGGCAGGCTAAGTGGCCCTGATAAAGGGTCAGAGAAAAGGCAGGACCAATTTATTATGAAACGTAGTAAATATCTGTATCGAGGGTAATGACGAAAACGAGTCACACAGTGGAAAGCTGAATTTCCAAGTGATCAAACCATAAAGCTCCAGAATGTTGGTGTCAGTTTAAGTAAACTGAGTGGATCTGAATAGTGCATGAAACATATTTTGTTATGTGCTGAGTCAGATTTTGTTGTTATGTGCTGAGTCAGACTTTGGTTTATTGGGTCATGATTACTCAACAGTTTTTTTGTGTGTGTTGCACGTCACGTGTAAGAGGCATCAGTGACAAGGTATTTGGTCTCATGTAACTGCAACACAAATGTCAATGTTACATCATTTAAAATGTCATCCTATTTGTGTCATGATTCATTTATTTCACAGTTTTGTTCATGAGAGGAAATCAAGATCAATTAAGATGTGATTAGTTGATTTTTTATTTTTTTTTTAGAATATTTTTTATTTCGTATGCTTCAATCAGTACATTGATCTCAGGTGAAATTCACTTACAGGGTAAACGACTGCTTTGGCTGGTTTTGATTTAATTTGATACATGCTAAATATTCAAATTACTTTCTTGTCTTTTTTTTTTCTTCTTTGGTCTTTGTTATTCACAAATTTAAGACCAGAGTTCTATTGTTCAAGCCTGGAGCTCACTGCAGGTAAAGATATTTTCATAACAACAGGCTAGAAATCACTTATTTTAACACTTGTACTCAAGTGTACAGTACTGAGATCAGTTTTAATGCAGAATGCTTTCAATATTAATGTTAGCTTCACAACATTTAAGCATCACGTGAATTGCTCTACATTCTGCCTTTGACATTAAAATGACCTGAGTTTGTTGGGGTTTCCCACTACACTATTTTGAAGTGATGACTAACATTGGATTTTAAAATACACATTATCACGACCAATAATATATGCATTACCTTTATCTTATCAGAGGATCAATGATTTGCTATGTTTTTGCAAGTCAAGAGGTTTAGTATCAAGACGCTGATAACAGTTTATGATGGACGCTGTGATAGCCGCTGGGTGTTTGTGTTGGTCAGACAATAATAGGAATAATATAGATGCTAAATAAGGCTGGAGTGGGATACGTGTTTGTGTCACGCTTTAGTTGTCATTGTTGGTTAAAGTATTGAAGCAATTTTAAAGGTTATGTGTAGGTTCCTGATTCCTAAATGCGTTAAAAATAGAGACAAAACTGTCACTATTTTTAACGTATCATGGCCTCTAAGATGTCTTTCCTGCACTTGTGAGTTAAAACCTATATGTCCGCTACATTCTCCCTCACAATATTTAAAAAACAAACAATTTTTAAGCATATTACAACTGCACAACTCCTCGTCTTCAAACGTGAGGTCAAGATGGGGATGCAGTTATCACTTGTGTGGGTCCAGAGTCTTTCTCACCATATCAGAACTGCAATGATAAAACACTGTGGTATGTGCATGTGACAGTGTTTTATTGCAGCACTATTTAGATGCGATATCAATCCTAATTATGTACCAAGGTAGTAAGAAGAAAACAGAATACCTTTAAACAGCTTATCTACCAGTCGATAGCATCAGTTCATCCAATTCAAGGCACCATGAAGACGCTCCAGCGGCTTGTGTGTCTGTACATTTTCTGTCTGTATGGTGGTCAGAACAGTGGGGTGAATGGGGAGGAAGACTTCATGCTTCTTGCAGGGCCTCTTACAAACCAGGTGGTCAAAGGCTCAGGGAGTGAAGTGAATAATGCCTTTGACTGCAGTCATCCCATACCGCCTAGTTTTAAGCAGTACTTTTATTATCTCAAGAGCCGAGGAGTGACTCACTTCAAGGTACCGCTGTCATGGGCTCAGCTCCTTCCTTCAGGCCTCCCCAGTCAGCCCCAGCAGGCTGTGGTCAACTGCTACCAGACCCTGATGAAACAGCTGCACGAGGTGGGACTTGAGCC